CTTGATGGATCAACTAGAAAGCCACCTGAACCGCTTCAAAGTTTCCTTCTCAAGAGTCGAAAACGACCTTTGAAGGGTTGGCATGAGGTTTGTTGATGATAGCTGATGAGAAGTGAAAGTGACCAAGGATATTTGGCATCGTCTTGTGCCTCTCTCTTTCTCTCTCTCTTTTTTTGCCTAGAGATTCTTCTCCTTATCCAACGGTTGCCTTTCCTATGCCAAAAATCAAAGCTCCGTAAGTTTCTCTTCCTTTTTATGCGTAGTAATGCGATCTTCCCTGAATTTTATTATCTCCTTTGACCCTGTCGTGGTGGCGGCTAGCGGAGAGTTAAGCAATGCCTCTAAAGACGAGGCTTTACAACCAAACCGTCCACAAATCACAGGGTTCGCACGCTGTCGTGGGGGTGCCTAGCTTGACCTAGAAGGACTCCACAATGCCGTGAATGGCAGACGGTTGTACTTCCGGGTCACGCCATACCGTAGGAAGTGTAGCTAAGCCAGCAGATCCCTCATGATGCCTTTCCACCGACTATGCAATACTCGATCACGTTAGCGAGATTTGCTGTATCTCTAGTTAACCCGTGGAAGGAACAGGACCCAAATCGACCTCGCCAACACCTACGTAACCTCAGAGCCAAATAAACTGAAGATCGACATCGATGCGACGGCTGTGGTGTACCACCTCAAGGTAAGTTAATGCCTCACCTCCTTCCAAGGCTTCACAAGGCGATAGCGTCACCAATCGCGTGACTTTGAGGAGCCCGCACACACGCACACACACACATTTCAATCTTAAAGTAGCAGATGACATCGTCGATGCCTTTCTAATGATCACTTCATACTTACCAGTTCGAAGAGGCTACAAAATTTCGTCAATGGTTGACAGCCATAAAGGAGCATCGAAGCTACGATCAGTATCAAAGCGCCATCAACTCGTCAGGTCGAGTGACCACCAATCCAACAGTCTCCATCACCGTCGCAAACGCTCCACCGCCAGACCCATCGAGCATCGGACAACCACCAACGAGACCAAACAATATCAGTCTTTACAATGCTTCGTTAGGCAGACAACATAAATTGGCCAAATCCACCAACAAACTCTCCAATGAGCACATTACAAGTGAGTTTGGTTTAAAAAAAAATCATTTTGCTTGAATGTTAATAGAGCTGAGCTACCTTTACTTCGTCTTTTCAGCCATGGAAAAGTTGGCAGCAAAGTTGGAAAACGCCTATGAGGAGGTTGAAAAGGCAAAAACCATGATTTTGGTAGGTTCACTTTTTCCACTTCACATTGTCTTGTCTCTGATTAGACGAACATTCCAGAGAACGACTCCACCGAAGGAGACAACTCAAGTCCGACACAGAGTGTCTTCTTCTCCCCGGTGCCCTTCAGTTCGTTTGAAGGTCGAACCTCCTCCACCGTGACAGCACACAGACGATTCAGTTCCATCTCCTCCACCACCAGTATGTGCACAGCAGTTCAAGGACCGGCAACAGAGGTGATTGAAGCAAAATGCACCAAACCGAGTCACGGCATCGTCGACAGCACAGCCCTCACCTTTGTTCAAGCCGCAATAAAGTTCTCCGACGAGGCGAAGCGGTACATTGAGGAGGCAAATGAAGGTAAATCATGACAAGGGTCTAATAACAAGTGACATTTTGTTGATGCCTTTTAGCACTCGCGACAATACAACAAATGAGTCAATTGTACAACAATGGCCTAACACCGAATCGAGAGCGAAAACAGTCCCACTTGATAAGTCCTAGTAGGGTAAGGCGTTGTTCTCTTCTCGCTTTTTTTTTTCAATTCCTGTATTTCGACGTTTTCACACCTTATTTTCGCCTTTCTACCAGAATTTGCATCCGACGCCTCATTGGCTATTTGTTTTTATTTGTAAGGATGACCACCGGGAAGGACTTTCCTCCCACCGGGGCTCGAGTTAGTCCAATTCACACATTCATAGCACGTATGGTAGCACGAGACTTTAAATATTAGCTTAAGTGTAGTGCTCTTTTGAGGGGTTCACTTCGGTGCCAATATTGATGTGCCAAGCCAATCGCTGGCACGGTGACACCACTTGCGGGA